CGTATCACTTGCCGTCCTTCGTGTCGACCTCGGAGGCCCCTACGTCTCCACCGCACCAGCAGACTCAGCCACAACACCACGCCCCGCTACCGCACGCAACAAAGCAGCAGCCTTCCACGCCGCCAGTTCACCCACCCGCGGTGCCCCCTGCCCCTGTCTCTGTGCCACCAGCAGCAGTGGCCCCACTATCAGCAACCACGGCAATCAATGGCGCGCCGGCGCCTGTGTCTGCACCCAAATCCATGCCAGAGTCTCTGCCGCACCTGCTGAGCACGCGTGTGCAGAAGCTGGCCAAGTTTGCGGCGAGCGCGCTGGACTACGACGATCTCGACACCGCTCGCAAGCAACTGCGCGAGGCGCTGGACATCTGCGAGGGGCGTATCATTCAGTGATGAAGCGGTGGCCGAACCCACGCTTCGCGCCCATGGACTTGTGGGGTGAAAACGGATGCGTGCGATGCACGCGACCATTTTCGATACTGTGCCCCCCCTGTGCCCGAGAGCTGCTGGGTTTGTCTCCGTATTACAAGAATGCATGCACGATCATGCGGAGCCGCAAAGATTTCAACACAGCATGCCTGTGTGCCGGTGCTGTGGTCTGATTACCTGTTCCTTTAGGGATTTCTGTGCTACGTCTACATCTAGAAGGTAGAAGAGGGAGTCCTTGAAGCTTACACTTGGGAAAGCGGGGGACCGAAGAAATTTACGCGAGACCGGCTTCAACCATGGCCTGCTTCATGAGCGCCCCGATCTTGGCCGGGCTGTCCGCAACGATGGCGCCAGCCCTCTCGAGTGCGCGGACCTTGTCGTCGGCGCCGCCCTTGCCGCCGGCGATGATGGCGCCCGCGTGGCCCATCCTCCTGCCAGGCGGTGCAGTGCGGCCGGCGATAAAGGCGACGACAGGCTTGGGGTTCTTGCGTGTTTTGTTGTACTGCTCGAGGTACTCTGCTGCGTCCTCCTCCATGCTGCCGCCGATCTCGCCGATGAGGACGATGCCCTCGGACTTGTCGTCGTGCAGCAGCAGCTTGACGAGGTCGAGCGTCGTCGAGCCAGGGTACGGGTCGCCGCCGATGCCGACACAGATGCTCTGGCCGAGACCGACGTTGGTCGTCTGGTTGACCGCCTCGTAGGTGAGCGTACCGGAGCGGCTGACGATGCCGATCTTGCCGGGCGTGTGGATGTGGCCGGGCATGATGCCGATCTTGCAGCCCTCTGGGTTGATCACGCCGGGGCAGTTGGGGCCGATGAGCCTGCTTTTACTCTGGCTGCGCAGCGCGTGCGCGACGCGGATCTCGTCCGCCTGCGGGATACCCTCAGTGATGGCGACGATCAAGGGCACCTCGTTCTCGATCGCGTCGATGATCGCGTCCGCCGCGCTCGGTGGCGGAACGTACAGGACCGACGCGTGCGGCTTTGTCTCCGCAACTGCCTCGCGCACGGAGCCAAAGACGGGTAGGCCCAGGTGCTCTTGGCCGGCCTTTTTAGGTGACACGCCACCAACGAGCTTGGTGCCGTACTCGAGTGCCTGCTTGCAGTGGAACGTTCCCTGGGAGTGGCGTGTGCGTGTGCGATACAGACAAGAGAGTTCAGACCGATTTCTTCAACGCCAACGAGGACACGTGCTTCTCAATGGCTGCACTTTCCCTCCACCGCCTTCTGGTTCTGCTGCAAGACAAGAACAAGAAAAGAAGCGATGCACTTACCGTCTTACCGGTAAAGCCCTGGCAGATGACGCGCGAGTCCTTGTTGATGAGGATGTTCTTGATCGTGTCCTCATACGATGCACGTGCAACGGATGAGGAGCTGAGGCTGCATCGCTGCTGCACCAGCGTGTGTCCGGCTTGCGCGCTCGCGCCGAGACGGGCGGTGGATGTGGATAGCAGGGTTCTGAGTGAGGCCATGATTGCTAGCGGGGAAGTTTGTTTCTTCTTCTTCTTCTTCTTCTTCGTTTTTTCTCTCTGTTCTCCTCGGCTTGGCTTCGAGGACGTCAAGTGCGTACGCAGCGGTGCAGAGCGATGTTCTTCCACGATCTTACGGACCAGATGAAGCAAGCAGCGAGAGGCAGGGACGTTGCAGGAGCGGATCGGGACGGAGAGAATTACACGATGCAAGCTCGATGCTGCTCTGCTACATAAGACGCATAGCATTTATTGCCTGCACCGCGGAACGCCCTCTCCACTCTCTCTGCAGCCTGTGCGCGATCTCCTTCTGTCTCTCTGAGCCAGAGTCCATCGTCGCCCACCACCCACACCCACCCACAGCCCACATTGGCAACAGCTGCCCAGCAGGCCACAGGGAAGCGCATGCTGAACTAGGGTTGCAGACCCTTCCAATTCACTCCTTGGCCCCTCGGTCGGATCCGGGCGCAGGGGCCACCCGCCAGCGAGCAGCCGGTGCAACACTGAACACGCTGCTCTGCAACCTTGTTGTGAGCCGTTCCGCCCTTCCGGGGATTTCCGTGTGTACGCTTCTCCCGAGTTCTGCTCGACACCGGTTGAATCGAAACTGTTGAGCTGGAGAATCAAAATCAATCCCCCCCATCCCACTTGGTCAGACCGTGGCAGCTCGCAACCGGCAGCTAGTTCCAAGCTGAGGTGGGCTGGGCATAGTCTTTTTGCGCTTTATCTCTCTTCCTGTGACGTCGCCCTCAGAGAGAACATCCCCCTTCCACACCCTCCCAAACTGATACTGGTCGGCCGACCAACAGCACGGCGACGAGATAACGCGCTTGCTGCTTTTGCTTCTTGTGGTTGTGGTTGTGGTTTTGGTTGTGGTTGTGAGTTTGTAACCCGTGGCGGCTCGGCATTCAAAAGAACCAGTGGCCCGGGGCGCCGCCCAACGCGTGTGATCAATGTGCGAAGAGGCACTGCACCAGTCAGAGCGCGCTCGCGAATGTTCTCCGGCGCCACCCGTCGTCATTCAACCGATAGTGTGGCCAACCCACAAAGGCTTTTCTTCTTTTCATACGTTGCCATTTAGAGATGTTCTTCTATTCACGCAACCGTCGCTCCATCATCGTTCCCCCCATCCCACCCCCTCCCTCACCTTCATCACCCACCGCACACTCTTCTTGGGACGCTCTAGAGGCCCCGCCCCTATCCCACTTGTGTAACGTACGCAACCCCCCAAGATGATGTCCATCCAGCGCAACGCCCTGCGCACCGCCGTCCGCGCCGCCGCGCAGGCCCAGCAGCAGCCTGCCGCCTTGGCTGGCGTCCGGTACGCATCGACCAAGTCGCTCGTTGACGCCGTCGCCGAGGTCGTCCCCGAGAAGCAAGAGCAGCTCAAGCAGCTCAAGGCCAAGCACGCCGACTCGAGCTTGGGTGAGGTCAAGGTTAGCAACCTCCTCGGTGGTATGCGCGGATTGAAGATCATGTAAGTCTGCTTCCTCGCTTCAAAAGAGACCATGAGCTTCTTGGCGATCTCAAAGTACACTTCACTCACCTACGCTTTGGTCTTGACTCGCTATTCCCCACTCTTACCTCTGTGCCGCCTTGGCTCGTCTCGGCAGGCTCTGGGAGGGCTCAGTTCTCGACGCCGACACCGGTATCACCTTCCACGGCAAGAGCATTCCCGACTGCGAGAAGGAGCTACCCACCGCCAAGGACCTTGGCCAGGAGGGCAAGGAGATGCGTGAGTTTCAAATCGGAGAATCGTCATTATTGGCGTAGAGCTACGTGTACCTGCCCACCTCTTCGCTCTCTGCATCTGCTTACTTGTACTCCCACGCTCATAGTCCCCGAGGCTATGCTCTGGTTGCTCCTCACCGGCAAGGTTCCGTCTGTCGAGGAGACCAAGGGCCTTTCTCAGGAGCTCGCCGCGAAGGGTACGCTCCCGGCCTACGCCGAGAAGGTCATTGACAGCTTCCCCAAGTCGATGCGTGAGTGCTAGCATGAATGGGCGCATATAGCCTACGGCAGCGTTTCATCCCTTACGCCCACGCCGCGGCGCTCTCCCTTGCAGACCCAATGACCCAGTTCTCCGCCGCCGTTGCTGCGCTCAACCACGACAGTGCGTTTGCAGCGGGCTACAAGAAGGGCATGAAGAAGACCGAGTACTGGCAGCCAACGCTCGAGGACTCGATCTCGCTCATCGCTAAGCTCCCCGCTGTCGCGGCGCGCATCTACTACAACGTCTTTGGCCGCGGTGACGGCAAGCAGGCCATCGACAGCAGCAAGGACTGGATCGGCAACTACTCGCAGATGATCGGTTACGGCAACAGCGTCGGCATGACCGACTACCTGCGTCTTTACATTGCTGTGAGTGCTCTCTCCCCACCCTTTGCTGGCACAGACAAATTGTAGGCTGACCCGCTCCACTGTACGCCCCCACCAGATTCACGGAGACCACGAGGGCGGCAACGTTTCGGCGCACGCCACCCACCTCGTCGGCTCGGCGCTCTCCGACCCCTTCCTCTCTTACTCTGCTGGTCTACTCGGCCTTGCTGGTCCCCTGCATGGCCTTGCCAACCAGGAGGTTCTGTGCGTATAGCATCTGCTTTCTTTTCCGCTTGCGGCATTGGCGTGCATGCGGCGCGTTGGTTGACTCGTTTTTCCTTCTTCCTTTTTTCCCGTACTGCCCTCGCCCACCGGCAGTGGCTTCATGCAAGACATGCAAAAGAGCGTCTCGGAGAACCCGAGCAAGGAGCAGATCACCGACTACCTCTGGTCTGTGCTCAAGTCCGGCCGCGTCGTGCCAGGCTACGGCCACGCGGTGCTGCGTCAGCCGGACCCTCGCTTCACGGCGCTGCAGCGCTTCGCATCGCAGCGCCCTGAGCTGCAGAGCGCCTCGATCGTTCAGCTCGTCCAGAAGGTCTTTGAGGTCGCGCCCGGCGTGCTGACCGAGCACGGCAAGACCAAGAACCCCTTCCCGAACGTCGACGCCGCCAGTGGTTGCGTGCTGTATTCGTACGGCATGAGCGAGTTCTCGTACTACACTGTCGTCTTTGGCGTCTCGCGCGCCCTCGGCGCTCTGCCGCAACTCGTCTGGGACCGGTGAGCAAGCGTTTCCGCCACCATGGGCTCGTGATTGATTTTCTTGCTTTTTCGCTGACTCCAATTGCGTTCTTCCTTTCTCAGTGCACTCGGCATGCCCATCGAGCGGCCGAAGAGCATGTCCATCCAGGCTCTCAATGCTTTCCTCAGCAAGTAAGCAAGTGCAGCGAGAACCACGCGTCCGATCGGCTAGATTCCAAAAGTAGCATATAAATACACAAAAATGAGTTGGATGTGTACTTTTGCCACCCATTTTCTTCATCTTCCTTGTGCTTGTTAGACTGTCTGTCAATAGACAGCGCTACGTCGACTTTGTCGCCTTCTGGCAGCCTCGGGATGGGAAGCGTGGGGCACGAGTGAGGGGCTCGCTTGCTTGTCTGGGAGCTTCTTTAGGAGCGAGAGAGAGCGCGAAAGGCTGCGCGTGTGATCGCGTCAGCCTTGCAGCATGCACGAGCGCGGCTCAGGCAGGAGCAGATACAAGAAAGGGCATGTAGTGCGTATGTACTCCGTCTGCACGCCGCCACCGTTTGTAGAGGTATGTGGGTGATGCCGAGAAGGGCGCGAGCCAACGCTCTGCAAAGAGATGATTAGGCATCTCCCTGGGAATTCCAGGTATTATGCCGCAGGTGGCGAGGATGCGATCGAGCCTGCCAGCTTGAGCCGGTCCCCAATGGTCTGTCAAGAAGGCAGAAAATCGAGGGAGGAGCGAGCGACCCTTGTCAACAGGCTTCGCTAGCGTTTTCGTCCACCATTTGACAATCGTGTGCGAGGGAGCGTGACGGCATCTTTTAAAGTGAACAGACATGAAC